AATAATGATTTAATTTTGTAGACGGATCTGAGAGCAAACAGTCACAAACAGGTACAGAAAAAGGAATGATGAAAACTGATAACGAGATAAGCGTGGTGAGTTTTTGGCTATAGCATCATGCTATAAATTTCTCGGAATCATATCATCCTCAAATTTCCCAATAAATTCAAATTAAATAATTTTTTTTTCATTCCAACTTTTCTTTTCCTTTAAATTGAAAAAAAATGATGAAAAAATTTTTGATAAATCAAATTGCACTGCGCATTTATTTATTTCAACAATTCAGCACATGAAAATGTTTACACAACCAAATGAAACTGTTAGAAGTTGTAATAATTTTTCAGAAAATTGATATTCAAAAAGAAAATGTTGCTAAGGCAAAGAAAATGCAACGAAATCAAATTTTGAACAATTCACAGTTCGTACCGTTCCTTCTCACTAACTTTTTACTCTAATTTTCATTTATTGCTTTTAATGATGAAATTATTCTTAATAGTATTCGCTATTTTATTGCAAATTTATACTATTGAAATTTATTCTTTTAGTTCACATATGTTCTTTTGCTTTATTCTTTTACTTTTTTCCTTTTACTTCATATTTTGTTCTTTTGGAAATTTTTATGCATATGAAAAAGAGAGAAAGAGAAAAAAAACGACTACTGTACAAAGTAATTAATAATTAATTATTTGAAAAAGAAAGCATTTGAAATTTTTTCTAAATATATATTTTCATATTTGATTATATTTCATGTCAGTCATATTTAGGGCATCATCTTTGATAACTTTTCCGGCAACATGCAATGAAGAATCAGAACTGAGAATAAAATCAACAGAATTCGATCAAGGTCAATTTTCTTTTTTGACCTTGAAAAATCATTATAGCAGCATTAGCAATAGAGTGTGTGTGTGTGGCTTATTTACTAAATCATGCAAAGCTAATAAAACTGAACGTTTTTTTTTTTTGGAATTTTAATTTGGATGAAAGTGTGAGAGGTAATGAAAATGTGAATCAAATTAAATTGAAATCTTATCACTATTCACTTCTTTCTCTTTTAATTATCGGATGAACATGTTGTTGTTTATATTTTCCAAGAGAAGTTAATTATAAACATTATTTATTACTAGTTTTGTTCGAACTTTTTTTCAAAATTTTAATTTTTTCTAAACAGAAATTTACTTCTTGTTGTCGCACATTTTTATTTCGTTTTTATTTCATTCCTCTTTACATAGATGTCAAAAAAATACAAATTCAGTTGAATTGCTTTTATGGACAGTAATGATACTATATTACTGGTCATTAGATGGGAGCTATATTGGTCATTAGGTGATATTGATCATTAGTGAATTGGTCATTAGATGATACCGATCATTAGGATATATTGATCATTAGGTGATAGTGGTCATTGGTATGACCATATTTAATGGTTATCAATTTCAATATTGTTGTTATTCAGATTATTAATTATCATTCAAATTTATGGTCATCAGGTGCAATTATTTCTGTTAATGCAAGTTACAAAAGTATTATCATTGAGAGTTATCAGTTTCAATACCGTTGCTATTCAGATTATGATTGTATGATCGTTGGTGCTATGTTTGACATTTTGAGTTTGAGACAGCTTTTGGTGCAACTTCCTGGTTTCCTGTAACATAGAAAATTTTTACAGATACAGAAAATCCGGAAATCAACTAAGCTATCTATCCTTTTCTTTAACTCATTTATAATTAAGGGGTAAAATTGTCAAGAATTTCGTATTTGACACTGCAAAAAGCGTCCATTTGATGGCTTTCATGATGCTTTTGTTGAACTACAGATGACTGGACAGATCCTCAAATATCATAAAGGGTGAATGAAAGGGAGAGAGAGAGAGAGAGAGAGAGAGAGAGAG